GAGAGAGAGAGAGAGAGAGAGAGAGAGAGAGAGAGAGAGAGAGAAATAAAGAGCAAAGACACAAAGGAAAAGAGAGAGAGAGAAGAGACGACAGAAACACATGAAGAGAGAGACAACAGAGAGAGAAATCAGAGAGATCAATGGAGAGAGAGAGAGATGCAAACTGTCATCACAGTTCTTTTTTTTGTTTCAAAATTTCAGACGATTTTGGCGCGCGCGAGAGAGAGAGAGAGCTCGGGAGCTCGAATCAATTGAGGCGAGTCTCGATTGAGCGATAGAGACAGAGAGAGGGAGAGAGAGAGCAGGATGATCTAAAATTGCTCGTCGTGGATGCCATCGTCGGCTTCAATTTCGCCGAGGAGGGAGCGTACAAATTCGTCTTCCTCGTCTGCAGAAAAGCCGAGGCTTGATTGGCCCTGTTGACGCAGTTCGGCGAGTTGGGCATCGATGGAAGCGAGCATGCCGGCCTCCGCCGGGGCTGCTTGTTGCTGAACAAGCGACTGTTGGTAAGCGACAAATGTCTGCTGAGCGGATGGTGTCATCAGGGCCAGGGGAACATCTGGAAATTGCTCTGCTGTATTGGGCGGAGGCAGAAAGCCCAGGCCGGCCAGTTGCAAGTCATCGAGCTGCAGATCCATCCCCTCCAAGGCCGCCAGTCCTCTTCAAACGGCGAGGTGCCGGTCTGTGCAGCAGCACCATCTTGTGGTGGCTGTTGTTGCTCGGCCAACTGGGATGCGTAGTAAGCGGCCGCCTGATCTTGGGGTATGCTTTCGGCCGCTTGCAACGCTGCCGCCTTTTCTTGTTGAAAAGCGGCGGCTTCCTGTAAAATCAACTCTAAGGGATGCAGAGTAGGCAGGTGGAGACAGAGGGTCATGCCCTGTCAAGAAAAAAAAAGGGGGGGGGGGGAATTCTTGCAATAAACAACAACAACAAAAAGCATCTGTCCACACACACACACACACACACACACACACACACACACACACACACACACACACACACACACACACACAACGCAGCACGTGGCCTGGTGTAAAACACCGCACACCATCTTACCTTTCCAGCCAGCCACGTCCAGGTCGAGCCGCTCATATGTCGCATCATACACCTGCCCATCCTTGACCACAGGCTGCACAACTCAGGTGTGCGATGAGACATCATCCACGCACGCCCTTAAAAAGTACAAGAAAGCGCAACTCGAACAACAACACTGGCACCACCACCACCATACACGGGCGGCGTGATCAGGATGAAAAACAGAGAAGAATGACCCACCTCATCCTCTTCAATGTGATACTCGGCAAAAAAAGGGTGACGCAAAGCGTCACGCGCCGTGGGGCGGCGGCGCTCGTCAAACTGAAGCAGCCGATCCAAGAGATCAATGGCCGCCGGATCAGCCCCAGCAAACATCTCTTGAAAGTTTTGGCGCGGATAATCCTCCAAGGACTGCAAGTATGTGCGTGCCTGTGCAATCGTTTCACAGCTGCCCGTCAGCAGGCCGGATGGGTGGGGTTGCTCTTGCCCATTCGAAACTTGCGCTTCATCAAGGGCGTGTGACAAAGGGTCTTAAAGGGGCTGTCACTCACATATTCAGACGGGACGGTGGCAATAAACTCGTCGCTGGGCTTGCCCACAATCTGGCAAATGGCGTCAACTTGATGGATGGGCGATGAGCCCACAAAGAGGGATCGGCCGATGATCAGCTCCGCCATGATACAGCCCACCGACCACATGTCCATCTAAACAAACTCGTCACAAACGAGTCCCAATGAGCGAGCATGGAGCTGGCGGGACAAAGTCGGGTCCGGAAGAAACCTACTCACCGCCGCGTCGTAGAGACCCGGTTTTGTAAACACTTCTGGGGCGCGAAAGTAGCGTGTGGTGACATAGCTGTGGCACAACCCAAGGCCACAACAGGCAATGGTGAGATGTAGGAAGACCGGCGACAAACAGGCCGCCTCCGCCTCAAACGACATGGGCGTACCCCGTTTTGTCGACACCAGGGGCAGTTGGACGGGCCAGGCCAAAGTCAATAATCTTCAGATTGCAGGATGCATCAACGACGATATTGCTGAAGAACAATGGGCGTACGACCACAAGGGTTGAGGTCAGCAGGACCGGGTGGTAGCCTGGTGCAGGGCCCAGGCAGGCCCCGGTGTGTGTGAGTGTTACCTGGGCTTGAGATCTCGATGGATCAGTCCACCACTGTGTACGTACTGCCGAGACGTGGAAGCAGCGTGAGGTTGGATCCAGTTGGGACCAAGTAAGACCGGGTGAGGCAGAACCAAGGGCTGCGTATGAACGTACAAGCAAGGCGCGGACCACTTGATACATGAACAGACGAATGTGGTCGATGGAGATGACTATGAGGCATGACGTAGAGGGAGGAAAATGTCACAGCCACGATGATGCACAGGTGCAGGTGAGTTGTTGTTAGGATGACCAAGGCGACGGCCCACCCTGAGAACGCATGACAGAGTAGAGGTCGACCGGCAGGTACTCGGTGACGAGATAAATGTCGGGTTGGCTGTCGACATCCACTGTGGTGCGCACAAAGAGGCAGGTGTGTTAGGACGATGATGATGAAAAGAAAACAGTAAAAAAAAAAAAAAAAAAAAAAAAAAAAAAGGCACAAAATCGACATTGAGGCGGACATGAGACAGAGCGAGTGCAGGAAGATGGCAGGCAGGCGGGGGCTTACCTTGGCTCAGAAACATGTCAAGAAGGCCAATCACGTTCTCATGCTTGATGAAGCGAAGAACCTTGATCTCACGATAGGCGCGCTTGGTCAAAATGGGGAGCTGGGAGAGTGTACAAGCAGACGGGACGTGAGAGGGCAACAGGGCAAAGGCGCTCGGCACGGGCAGGGCGAGGATTGGAACCTCATAGGCACGATTGAGTTTTTTGATGGCAACAGTAGCATTGCGGCGAACGTCAAAGGCCGAGCTGCCACGCAGTCAAGGCACCAAACGAGCACAATGATACTGAGATGACCCCCGACAAAGAGGTACGATGGGACGAAGAGGTCAGGAGGTGAGGGCCGAACATGACGTACCAAACGGCACCGTAGCCACCACTGCCCACTGGCTGTAGATCAGTAAAGTAAGCCGGGATCTTCCACTAGGCAGGCCAAATGCCACCGGGTCAACGAGTCGAATGAGCTGCCGCGAGACGACGAGCAGGCTCTCCTTCGCCATCCATCATTCACACACACACACACACACACACCTGAGAGCGATTGACATGGTACACCCGAAAGACGTCGTCCCCCATGTTGCAGGTGCCACTTGGCCACAATCAGGGAGTATCAAAGCCAACCCCGCCCACAGACAAGACTCCTGCACCGCCAACTGCAGCAGCTACACCGCCAACCGCTACACCGCCACAGCCAGCACCACCGTCACCAGCCAGCCAGCGGAAGTGCTCGTCACGGCTCGCGCTGCCGGTTACAGATGAAGTGTATAAAGTTAAAAGTTCCTCTTCAACTTGAAATGCCATTTGCTGTTATATTTTATGGAGTGTTATTTTAGAATAGGAGCGGGAAGCTGAGGAGAGACGAGTTTTGAATTTTGAGGCTGAACCGGGTAGGGGGGGAGTTGACGTTCATGTACACACGCGGGCTCTCCCGCGGGAGGTGGGGGCTCGGGACACTCGAAAACGCTGCAGCAAACGTTGACTGAGGCGAGGGGCTGCAGCTTCAGACGGGCAAATATATTTACAGGAAGATGTTCTCAAACATGACAAAGGGGTAAAAGCCAAGTTCAACCTTGTCGTCGTGAAAGTGGGTCATGGGGTATTCGGGACGGTCAGTCGGGCTGAGAAGGAGGTGCTGCACCAGGGGCGGGGCAAAGTAAAAGAGGGTGGCCATAAAGTAAAAGGTGGGGAGGAAGATCAGGCCGTAGCGGTCAATGTTGTCCACCCGGTGGGAGGCAATGTCCCCAAAGCCGCCCGCGATGACCCAGGAGAGAACGGCAACAACAAACTGCACGAGCAGGCTCACAATGACAAACTTGTCGATGCGGGTGAGGAAGCTTGTCTTGGGCAGGAGGCTGCCAATGACGAAGAGAAGGGCGGCCGTGGCCAAAAACATGGTCAGCGAGGTGGCATTGCGGTCGCTCAGATTGTCCGGCTCGAAGAAGAAGCTGCTGAAGCAGAAGACAGTGGAAAGAAAGAGCGGCAGGACCAGCTTCCAGAGATAAAAGGACGAGCGCCGTTGCAAATGCAAGTGAATGAGCATGTGCGAGTAGGGGATCGAGTTGCCGCCCATGAGCTCGTAGCCGTCAATGCTGTGTCCGCGGATGGTCCACTCGGCCACAAACTCGGGGTCGAAGAAGAGCTTGGTGGCGTTGGCCTCCCCTTCGGACCAGGGTCGCAGGACGTAGTCTTCGGCCGATTGTTCCTCCACGGCAATCACGTGGATGGTCGCTGCATCCGAGTCAAAGGGGAAATCGCGCAGATCCATGGGGTTGTCAAAGGTGGCTTCAAATTCCAGCGCCTGCAACATCAGGCCCCGTTCCGGGTCCAACAGCGTGGCCGGATGCACCGTCTTGTTATAGTCGCCCGTGGCGTTGAACACGTACGCATCTGGCCGCCAGAGGTAGGGCGGCACGTTGGCGGGATCCGCACCAATCATGGACGGGTCAATCCAGTGCAAGTCAAAGAAGAAGCGCACATACGCAGACTGGCTCACCGTGTCCACGCGGCCAAAAGAGATGATGCCAACCTTGGCCTGCACCTCGACCGGCTTGCCGTCCACCTTGGGAGGATCCGACCGCACATCCCCCTGTGCCGCTGCCGCGATGCGTGCGGCATGCACCAAATTGCTAATGCCCAACTGCTGCAGACCGTCCACACCCAAGACAGCCAGGTCCCCAACCTGGATCTCGTGTTTCAAGACCAGATCACGGTATTTGGCCAAATCTGCTTCCGGCAGCGGCGGGTGCATACGCCCCAGAAATACGCTCGTAAAGCTGGCCCCGGCATGCTCCAGGTCCGACGAGCTCTGTTTCGTCATGATGGCCGGCAAGATGATCAAGTTCTCCTGCATCAGGTCTTCGCATCAACGTGTAGTTCACGCGTGTTAGAGTACACGTTGGCGTGTGCGAGTTTGTGCGAGTGTGCGCGCGCGCGTGCGTGTGTGTGTGTGTGTGTGTGCGTGTGTGTGTGTGTGTGTGTGTGTGTGTGTGTGTGTGTGTGTGTGTGTGTGTGTGTGTGTGTGTGTGTGTGGCAAGCAGAAGACCACAGGTGTACTTGCTTATCCCGCTGGCGGCGGTGGCGATCGCGCTGCCCTTCAGCCGATCGATCAAAACGTAACACACACTTCTTTTTCGACGTGGATCAACGCCCCCAAAGTTATCGCAGCTGTTCGAAGAGTTTCTGCAGGCGGCCTAATCTTTCGATTGTAAGTTTGTGCAGATTGTTTCGTAGTAACCGTTGTTATGGGTTGTGACCCTTGGATGAGGGACAGAACAAATACGTCCGATGACATACGTATAAACGATACATCCTTCACGTGTGGTGCTTTTACGTTGTATTATCATTGTCCAAGAAACGCCATGTGTGCTAAACGCGTCATGCGTGTGTGGTCCGGCGTCATGTCAGCACGTTCATCCCATTTCGTGCCATTCTAGGTCACGATGTAATTACGCTCAAAACAGCTGTTGTATACTACTGTTGATGATTTACTTGCATGCTTGCAAATGTGAAGAGTGGGGAGCGGTCCGCCGCATGCCACGCATCGTTGTACCCCAACGCCTCAATGCTGTGCCCCTTCCTGCGGTGCTGTGTCCGCCAGGCCTTGATTCCCATGGTGTCCCCTCGGCCAGAGAGACACAGTCAGGACAACGCTGGGGCCTTTGTTGTAGCAAACAAGGCCCGAGGTCGTCAGCACAAGCGACCCCCTCCGAACTCGCAGTTCCCCTGCTGACCCACGCACGCCACCGCCTCAGGGCTGGAACTCCTCTCCTGGATCTCTTTCTCCGAGTGCTCCCGAGAATTTAGATCCGCAGATTGTACTTTGCCTTTCCCCACAGCCCGTTCTGACGGTCCCCTTGCCCGCGCGACCTGCTCGGATCATTGCCCATCGGGCCATCTGCGTCGACCAACATGTCTCTGCTGACCATCCCTTCCTCCGCTTTGCCCATCTCGGTTGCTTTCGCTGCCTTGATCGCCTCCACCCATGGCCTTGGCGAGGATGCGCAAGTTGTTGTTGGTACGCACCTGCTCGTTCTCACCCCGTGTTTGGCGCCTCTGTCGCCGGCGAGGTTACACCTCACTGTCCATGACTGTATCCGCAGAACAATGTGACACGAGTGGGTTGGAAGCCTGGAAGGCAGCTGCTGTTGGCCTTGCCGTCACCTGTAGTATCCTCTTTATGGCCAACGTTGCCCTTTTTATCATGCATCGTCGACTCATGCGCAGCACCAACAAGATCATCGCCAACCCTCCCAAAAACGACGTCAGCCGCCGCCCCAGCTACACCCTACAGCCTCAAATGCTGGATCTTGACCTGGTACGTCCCCGCCCCCTCTCTCTCCCTCTCTCCTTTTCTGCCGCCCCCCCTTCCAGTCCACGCCGTTCCAAATCGCGCGCGATCTTGTCGCCCTCTCTGGGCGTGATGAAGGATGATTTGCCTGACACGCCCCATTCATGCGGTCCTTGGACTTTTCGTTTGCCTTTAGGTGGATCCAATTGAGAATAACCGCGTCGAACATGCCATAACCACCTTTGAAGACTTGGTCAACAATCTTCAGTCGGCATATGAGGAGGACGATGACGGGTCCCGCCCGCGCCGTTCCACCTTGCGCCAGGTGTCTGACCTCGAGCTCAGCCGACTTGCTACCCCCGCGTCCGAAGCCATGAGCGCTGATGATTCCCTCAACGAAACTCGAAGTGACGACGATATCGATGATGCGGCTGGCTTTGCCGGTCGACATGCGCGCCTAGATAGCGCAAGCCCAGATCTCGACTCGAGTCACATTCCTGCACACGGTCTGTTCCCTCTGCACACCAACCACGCACGCTCTCAAACACCAACATTGTCATATTGCCCAACGTCGCTTCTCACCCACGGTTTCTGTACTGTCTCGCCGCAGACTCGCGTCTGGACACGCCCCTGGAGCCCAGCGCATCTGCTATCCTCAACTCGCGCCAGCATTATTCCATGACAGGACAGACCCCTGGTGCGCTGCGCCACCTTCACTGTGCATGCCACGCGTGCTCCCTCAGGTCTCTCACCTCACCCTGTCAATTCCAATTGCGCGCAACGGCTGAATTTAGAACCCTATGCCATGGCCGGTTTCGCCAACATGCAATTTTCCTCGCTTCCTGTTACTTCGCCGGCACCCAACATGGTCATGGTCACCCCACCCCAAAATACTATTCCGTACTCTGGTGAGGCTTTGAGTCTTGTATCACCCCGCTCCGAGAGTTCCCCCTCCCAAATGAATACGTTGCCATGACTCATGTCTGCCACTTTTCCAGGCGCACCGCTATCTCTCCTCGCTCAGCCCACAGACTCGGGCCTCTCGGGCACCCTAGAAGACAGTGAATCGTAAATATAAGCGAGCATGCCCTAGAGCCTGCCCTTCGTATGTATAGATGCAGCCTAATAGAACCCCTCCCTGCAAAAGCTCTTGCGCCTCGTCTGCGCGCTTGTCTCTCTGTGTGTGTGGACTATTTTCCACCCTTTGTTACCTTTTGGATATTCTTTGACTCTGCTTGTTCAGAAGCCTGATAGGAGACATAAACATTGCTTCTAAAAATCAAATTAACATGGAAATTTGCACAAACAGCCAATCGGCATACACCCCTCAAGCGGGCACATGACTCGCAAAGCAGACAAGGTGGCACAGCGCCTCACACATCCAGTTGAAGACTAGGCGGACACGCATGACTATGGAGTGGGCTTGGGCTTGGGCTTGGGCGTTGGTGCGGGCGGCGCGACCTTGGCTTTAGGGGCTGGGGGCTGAGGTTTAGGCTTGGCCTTGGGTGCGACCCCGGGGCCAGATGGTCGTGGCTTTGCACGAGGAACGCTGGCCTGACTAAGGCTCGACGAACGTCGAGGCGGAGGTGGCGCAGCGGCGGATTCGTCGGCTTGAGCATCCCCTTCCATGGCAGCAACGGCTGCTTGAGCTCCACGCGGCGCGGGTTCGGGTACCGGGGCGTCCAGTGCCAGCTCCTCTTCACCCCAAGCATCGTCATCTTCACCGTCTTCACCGTTTTCATCGTCTTCATTTTCCTCATCCTCCACATCCGCCGCTGCAGGTTCTTCGTCCTCAGCCAGCGCTGCGTCTTCTGCCGTCACTCCATTGTCAGACGTCTCTTCAGACAAAGTATCATCCATATTTTTCGCTGGGGCAGGGATCGCCTCGAGTTCGGCCCCCTGGGTAGCCGTGGGCTCGACCACGGGCGGCTTGGCTGCTGGTGGCTCTACCACGGGCGGCTTGGCTGCTGGTGGCTCCACCACGGGCGGCTTGGCTGCTGGTGGCTCCACCAGGGGCGGCTTGGCTGCTGGTGGCTCTACCACGGGCGGCTTGGCTGCTGGTGGCTCTACCACGGGCGGCTTGGCTGCTGGCGGCTCCACCACGGGCGGCTTGGCTGCTGGTGGCTCCACCAGGGGCGGCTTGGCTGCTGGTGGCTCTACCACGGGCGGCTTGGCTGCTGGTGGCTCTACCACGGGCGGCTTGGCTGCCGGCGGCTCTACCACGGGCGGCTTGGCTGCTGGTGGCTCTACCACGGGCGGCTTGGCTGCCGGCGGCTCTACCACGGGCGGCTTGGCTGCTGCTGAAGAGTCGGCTGTTGGTGCTTCGGCATCAACAGGTTCTGTCTTCGGCTTGGCGACTTCACTTGCTGGTGCTTCTGGCCGGGGCTTGGCAACCGGTACCGGTGCTACTTCGTCAACCGTTGACTCGCCTTGGGGTAGCCCAGCCACATTCAAGACCTTGACCGGCTCAGAAGTTGGCTCTTGTTGCGCCGCGCCCTGATTCGCATCAGCTTCCTCGGAACTTGTAGCAGAACGCCGTTTCACGCTTGCCGACCGCACTCTTGAAAGCATATCTATGCACCAGTCAGATGAGCACAAGCAACCTCTGCAGCGGCACGAACACAATCACATACACCAATGCACAAACTCACCTTTGGTAGGAACAAAGCCCATGGCCACACCGCCAACAGGCTTGGTTCGCTCGGCCTTGGGTGCCGCCTCTGGCGTAGCTTGAGGTGGTGGCGCACCAGATGGCGGGGGTGGGCGGGGGCGTGGTTTGGGAACAATTGCCTCGCGCTCGCCGTCTTCCTTGGTCATTTTGTCCTCCGCCCTCTCCGCGGGGGCCGAAGCGTCAGCTTCTGGCGTATCGACCGCTGACTCCTTGGGAGGCTCTGATTGGTCCTCTTCTGCGTCATCAACAGCAACTTCTTCTGATCCAGCCAAAAGATCCTTGCTGCGTCGGCGAAACAGGCCACCTAGCAGGCGCTTGCCCCCCTTGACGTCCTTGACGTCTTTACTGGGGCTCGAGGTTTCACCAGCGTCGCTGCCTCCATTCGATTCTTTGGGCTCGGCCGGACTGGATGCCTCGACCTCGTCTTCCTTCTGCACACGTGGGGCGGCACGTGGGGCAGGGGTGGGTGACGTAGCAGCTACACCCGGTGTTGAAGAAGGTGGTTTCATTGCCAGCTGCGGGGCTGCCCGACTTGGCGGCGGTGCCCTTGCTACGACTGGCTGTGATGTCGGGCCGGCTGTATCAACTTCAGTGCTCTCCTCAAGCTCACCAAAAATTGAAGCACTCAATGAGGGCGTGGTACTGGCATGGCGTGATGATGCATTGGACCGTGGCTTGCGCGTTGGTGGCCGCTTTCCCTGCACAAATTGGCCACAGTTGGAAAGAGCAAATTGTACAGTGAGTGCAGCCAGAGCCCGATAACATGGCTGTTCTTGAAGGCCCAGGCAAGAAGACCAGATGTCACCTTCAGATGTCACCTTCAGAAGACAGAAGAATGGCACGACACACGATAATAACAAGATCCTGAGACAAGCGGCAACGGGCGCACCTGCACTTTGGGTCGGCCCTTGGTGTGGTGTGTCAAGCTTGGGCCTGCATTTGCTGCCCCCGCGGCGGCAGGGCCAGCGTCGATATCAATGCCACCTTCTTCAACGTCGTCGGGGTCGGCGCTCGTGCTCACAAGCACGGCACTGCGCGATACTTCCGGTGTTTCGGATGTCTGCGAGTCCTGAAGCGTGGAGACACGCTGCTTGGCTTTCAGAGCCGCGTCAGCTGCACGCGCCCGGCGAGCCGGTGTAGGCGAAGCCTTGGCCTCTGTAGGCTTGGCTGCGCTTGGCGGTGGGGCCTCTTTAGCGGGAGAGGCTTTGGTGTGCGCTGCACGGGCGGCCAAGGCAGTGCCAGTCTTGCGGGCGTCCAACACGCGGCTCACTTCTTGACCGGCCGCACCCAGGATCTCCAAAATGGCCTTTTGCGTGAAGGTTTCAAGCTGCTGGCCTAGTGCGGCAGTGAGGGTTGGGCGCACGCCCTCCTCGATGACCTCGGTCACAAGGCGACGACAGATGTCGGCATGCTGGTAGTGTGCAGCTTGGCGCAGCACTGCAGGATCAGTCCCACTCTCTGCCGCGAGAAGCGCCACAATCTCACCCGTGTTCTTCTCGAGGGCTTGTACGAGCACTGACTCCAAGCCACGAGCCAGCGAGGATGCCTGCTCTGCAACCAGAGCCTCTTGAGCTTTGAGAAGAGAGGCCTGCCGCTCAACGCCGGCACGCGTGGCTTGGACCGCTTTCTGGGCCCGCAAAAGCGCCTCGTCCCCGGCAATGCGGTCCTCTGGTGCAAATGAGGCCGTGGATTGCAGGGCTTCGACCAAGGAGTGCAACCAACGCTCGTCCTGTGCACCTGCCTCTTCTGGATCGACCGTAACCTGTCCAATCATTTGGCGGGCAGGGGAATGGTTACGGGCCAGAGCCAGCTGAATTCGATGTACAGCAGCGACGGTCTCGGCTTGATTGCGGCTCATGCTGGCCGTGATATCCAGGAGCGGCATGGGCAAATCCTGCATTACGACATTGTTCTCCAGCGCATTGGCCAACTCCATAAACCCAATGTGCGAGATGCCATTGTCATCCAGATCAATGCGTCGAAGCGCCTTGTTGTAGTTGAGCGTGACGGCAAGGGCAGAGGCGCCCGCGTCTCCAACATGGTTGCCCCGAATGTCCAGATGCTCAATCGAGGTGTTCTCGCTGAGGCTAGGAAACAGATTCACCAAATCCTGCTTCAGCTTCATGTCCTTCAGACTCAGGTGGCGGAGGCCCTAAGAAAATAGGGATGCGATGCATAAACCATGTGAGTAGAGTAAAAAAGGCGGCGGCACCCACTACAAGTTGACAAACAACGCTTCAATGACTTCCAGGCTGTGCGTCAAGCACGGCACCACCAACCTTATAGCTGCCTTCGAAGAGGGAGCGGAGGGCAAGCATCGAGCGCTGCGAGGTGCGAGCCCGGCTCAGATTCTCGTCCAGAACAAGACTGTTGAGTGTCGCGCTGTTGGCGGCGGCGGCTCCGATGATTTTGGCCATGTCATCGTCGCTGAATTCTATTCGAGTTTTAAGAGTAAAGACATGAGGGTGCATGCAAGAGGCCATATGCTGAGATGTGGTGCGTCAAACGGGTCGAGCGGCGTACCATTCTGGCTAAAGTCCAGCTTGCCGATTGTGGTCAACTTGGGCAGTGCCATGTGGATGACCGAGGCTGACTCGGAAACCCCCAAGTCACAATTCGCCAATCCTAATTCCAAGTTCTAAAAGGATCGGCAGCGTGAACAAGCTGGCCACAATGCCAGGGTACGGGTGGGCGTGATGCGGCAGCTCAGACTACGCACGGTGAGGAGAACGTTGACGCTCAGGCTATCAAGAAGAAACTTGAGCGCCACGGAAGGCAGCTTAACGCCATTGAGGCAGAGGCTCTGAATGACGGGCGCATGCTCGAGAAATTTGACCAGCTGAGGTTGAGGACGACCTGCTTTCCTATTAAAAGAGGATCATTGAGACTAGAGTATGAGAATGGCCTCCGACGCCCTTGAAGCGCTGTTGGTCCGATGGCCACAAGCGAGCATCACGCACTTGCTGGCAAATTTATTGTTACCCAAATCGAGGTGGGTGAGGTGGGTGCAAATGGCCTTGGCCATGGTCATGAGAATGGATTCAACCACGGCACCCGTGTTGTTGACGTTGACTGACTGCAGTATGTTGGCCTGCAACAGCATGTCAATCAGGCCAATAACACCCTCGTGGCCAATGGTGGGATTTTCGCTAATGTCAATCAGCTGGAGACCAGATGCGGAAGATGGATTCTTGCGGAGTGCAATCGCCAAGACCATGGCCCCCTGAGAGCAGACGCCATAAACAGAGGAGAGAAGACAAAGCATGATGCCATCGGCAGTGTCCCGTCGAAGGAAGGTAGCAAGAGACAAAAGAAAAAAAAAAAAAAAAAAAAAAGAGAGAGAGAGAGCGAGAGCGAGAGCGAAGCAAATACCTTCGTGGACATGGAAACGTTGACCATGCGCAAACGCCGCACACCCAAGACAAAGGTGCGTGCGCTATCAGCAAAGGCTGTGACCAAGGGGTCACCCAGACTAGATACCCAACAGAACGCACAATGAGATTATGTACGCGGACCAAGAAATGCGTCTAGAAGATGGACTTGGTATTTGACAATCAGCACAGTCATGGATGGCGCGTGAGATGGGGTGATGACGACGCACTTGTTCTGAGAAAAGTCAAAGTCTTGAATGCTGAGGCGCGGGTTGTTCTTGAGGTTTCCGAGGAATTTGCCCCAGAATTTGCTGTCGGCGGAGCTGAGGTTGCGCATCTCGATGGTTTGCAGCGTGTTGTTGCGGAGGGCAAGCATGGCCAGGCTATCCAGCGTCGCTGGGCTCTGGGTAAGCCAGATCCGGAACATACGTGAGACAATCAGGAGATAACGTAAACCACCCAGATGCAAGGGTTCGCGTTGCCACAAGAACTGGGCAAGGGCACAACGCGTGAGTACAAGATTTAACAAACCATCTTGAGGTCATTCAGCTTGAGTGTGGTGAACCACGGGTTAACGTGCAAGGCCGTGACGATGGCGGGAGAGCTCCTGCAAGATGTGGGGCGCACATGTCAGCAATGTGAGGCAATGCAACAAGAGCAGAGTGTCAAAACGCACACGAAAACGCACGTGAGTGACATGGCCATAAAGTCCAGGCCATCCAGAGTACGAGTGCGCGAGGCTTGGTATCGGCCCACAATTTTTTGGACCGTGAGCTGCTGCGGCGTCAGCCCATGATATTTGCACGCGTGCTGGTAAGCGGGCAAAAAAGCGGCTAGATCACAGGTGGATGGGCGTGGCATGAGAGCAAGGCGCAGCTTCGACACGTCCTGCAGCAGGCCATAATCGGCTCGGGATAGCTGGCAGCGTCACTGACCACAGTCGACGTCCTGGCGCTGCGACACATCTTGATCGGCCGGTGGCTGAACCTGAAGTGGGCAGGAGAAAACACAGCTGCAACAAAAACAAATACAAAAGAAGCAGATTAGGAGTTTGGGGGGAGATAGAGGATGATGGCTGCGTCTAAGCAGTGCAAGCCAGGCGAGCAAGGCGGTACCGCTCCGGCTCAAGCACGCACCGAACATCGCCAACGAGGTAGATGTTGCGGAGAGCATCGTAGAGGATGGCTGCAAGGGCCGGGGCATCTTGTTCAAGGCCACGGAGGCGAAGCGGTGAGGAAGTGGTGCTCTCAATCACCAAGCTCTATGTCGTTGGGTGCGAGCACAAGAGGGTGAGGAATCGTGTGGCAATGGCAAGCAAAGTCAGCACGAGGACGATGGCGCTTTGTGGACGCACCTGATCGTCGGACAAGATGTCCAAACGAGTCAGATCCAGGACGTTAATCTCGGTATCGATCTTAAAGGGTGGCCGTGGCGAGACGAGCACCAGACGATCCCCAGCAACGCCCAGAGCCTTGTCATCAGTCTTGTTGCGGTCAGCATTGATGACGAGCGTGACATCGGCCGTGAACGCCAAGGATTGCTGAGGCAAGACGGCGCTGACGGCCTGCGCGGCAGCCATGTTGACTGGCGCGAATGCAGATCAGCACGGCGCGCACAAAACGACTCGCCCCGCCCCAAGGCAGATGCACCCGCAACAGGAAGTGCAACCACCAAAACGTAGAGAGCTGCAAAACGACGACGCAGCTGATTCCCAATCCCCAAAGCCCAAAGGTGCGTTGGCGGGCTGGGCAGGGGGGGATCCAGCGTGTGTGCTAAACCGAACCGAGAGCTTGACGGGACGGCGATCGTGTGAGAGAAAGTGAGAGAGAGAGAGAGAGAGCGGGCGGCGCGGCTCAGTGGCAGCGGCGCTACGGAAGTGTGACTTCAGATACACTTCAAGCTTATTAAAGTGTAGCTATAATCACGTTTTCTGTTGCAGAGGCCAGCTGGACTTGTACGTTATGAGGTTATGTAGAGCGCGAAGGCAGTCAGATGTGGAATGTGATGGCTATGTGGGCGAAGGCAGTGAAATATATTGAGCAAATGCATATAAACTTGTGGTTTATGTAGTGGATGATAAAGATGATGTTGTTTTATAGCGTACTTGTGTTGTAAAATGCAGGGACTTTATGCATCGGTGCGATCAGTAGTTGTAGACATGTCGGTCTTTGGTTGACAGGTGGGGAGTCAATTATGGCACTGGCCGGAACCTTAGGGAGGAGATGATCAAATGGCAGGGGCACAAAGCCATGGGGCAGATAGTTACACGAGGATTGGGCTTTGCATGCCTGTGGCTTAAAGTGAAGCTAAATCGAGCCCTGATGCACGAGGGTTGGGTGTGTGACGAGGCCCTTGTCCACCTCGTCATGCAGGACGGACACCATCTCCGGAGTGAGACCGGTTTGTTCCTTGCCCACGTCCTCCTGAAGATCAAAGGCGCTATCTATAATGTCTTTGAGATCCTCGCTGTCGACCGAATCAACCTCGCTGCCATCTTCCAAGAATTCGCGTGGTGGAGACCCAGCGAGAATAGCCTCATCAAGCACGGCATTCTCCTATCGTAGCAGCAAGGCCAAGCGAGGTGGATTGATGTGAATGCGGTGCAGGCGCAGGCGAGAGAGGTACGGCTACGGAGCGCTGCTGCACACGGCTTGAACACGGGGACAACGTACCACGATGGTCAGCAGAACGCCCTTGGTAGCCTGTTGCAAGATCTTGACGACTTGACCGTGGCGCCAGCTGCGCACGTCAGTGCGGTTGACAGCCAGCACGTACGTGCCGGCCGTGACCCCACCGACATCGGCGGGCGAACCGGGAACAATCTCCGAGACACGACAAGGGCGCCCACCTTCCAGAACGAGGCCAAAACTTTGCTCGGGCGTCGATTTGAGCAACTTGCAGCGTCGCCGATCGGTCAGGGGGCAGCGAGCATTGAAAAAATGTGCGGGGCCGAGTCGTCGCCATAGATTGGCCGGCTTGGTCAGGGCAGGCAAACAAATGGGCTGTGCCCAGCGGTCTGCGGTTGGCGTCACGGGGCTGAGAGCGCGCAGCATATCGTAGTCTAGCGCACCCACTTTCTCTTCTGCCAGCAGTTGATTGACGGCACGTAGATCGTGCTCGATGCGTGTCTGGAGCATGGCCAGGCGGTGTTCGGGATCGTCTTGGCACACGCGCAGAGCCAGCTTGAGGGAACGTGCAGCCCGATGTAGACGCGTGTGCAGCATGGGCAGTTCATTGGGATCCGAATGGTCGTCCTGGTACAAATGCTGCACGTACAACAAATCTGCGCACAGGCATCACAGCAGGTGTGTGGACAGGGGTGAGAATACCCAGATGCGCATAGCACACGAGCGTTCTCAACACGACGTCAGACGGGCACAACATACCAGCCAGGCCTTGATACTCCTTGTACTTGGCGTACACAGTGCCGATCCATTCGTCGGGCCAGAGCCCGCGGGACAGTGGGTCGCTGGTCAAGGCCTCGCGAACGCGACCGTAGGCATGAGCAACTGCAGCTGCTTCTTGAGCCTTTGGCCACGGGAGAGCACTCCCCTGGCGCTCGACGATTTGAGTCTTGAAGTGGCACTCTTGCGCCTGGGCAAGATTAAAGGCCAGTAGCATTTGCAAGTTGGATGAGGTCCAGCTCTCGCTCGCAATGTGCGGGGCGCCTTCTGTCTCGCGGTGAGTAATCATGAGCTCGATGAGGCCAGCGGCCATCTCAAAATAAGTGCGCGCTCGGCTGCAGCTTGTGGCCGAATCCATGGGCTCGAGTACGGCGGCCTGTGTTGCGCAGGCGGCCGCTCCAGATAGTACACAAAGACGCTCTGCCAGGACATGCAGGTCGTGGTGTTCACGTCCTGTCAACCAGTCATACCTGCAGTCGAGAGCAAGCAAGAAAGATGGAGTGTTGGAGTGAATGTGAGAGAGATAAAGTGAGCATTGGGGGAAGCATCTTGTCTGGGCCATGGAAATGGTCGAAAAGGTGCGTCTAATATGGGTGCGTACCAGCGATAATGGATGTTGCGCAGCAAGCCGTCGCGGAGGAAGCGCTCCTCTAGTTGGCCGAGGAGGTGATAGTACTTGATAAACTTGGTGAGCTGGCCCGAGGGGGACAGGCCCAGACGCGGACAAACGTGGGTGGCAAAGAGCTGTTGGCGGGTCTGGCGAAAGGTGGCAAGCTCGACGCTCAGGTGATCGGGCGCCTCAAGGTAATGGGTAGTCAGGGACAGTTCAATGGCCTCGCGAAAGCTGGTGGCGTGCACGATCATGAGAGGGAGGGCGACAAAGGCACCGGCGATGTCGGCGATGACGGCGGGGTTGGCCACGTGGTGTTCGAGGAGACGGGCATCGGCATGGAGCCACTCGTCTTGACGTGCAAGGATGGTACCAAAGAGCTGCTCGCTCACATCCCGATATGAAAGGTCTGGGTCGACATCGTCGTTAAGACGCAGGGCAAGCTGTGCGAGGAAAATGTTGTTTTTGAGGTCCACGACTAGATCCTGCTCGCGTGACGCAGCAAAGGCCAGATTTACGGCGAGCTCGCGGCTGGGGCTGGCTTTGTGGAGGACACTACGGAATCGGGGTAGTAGGAGGAAGCACAGCACGCCGCGTGGTCAGAAAGCATTTGTAAAAGATGAGTGTATGCGGGCCAAGCACGGGGTAAGAACGGCCCGGGTACCAAGAATCGCACCTAGCCAGGTTCCCGCAGCCCAGGGCGATGCGATGCTCGGTGGTGATTTCACGACAAATTTCTCGGCGCTGAGTCAGAATCACTTCTTCAAGGCGGCGAGCAGAGGGTATGTCGTGGTGCAAGAGCTCGGGGCCGCCATGAGAAACACGGGCGGTTACCGAGGTGGCGAGTTTCATGTCATAGTTGGGAGGTTCATCCGAACCCGGCTCGTTGGGATTGGCAGGCATGGGCAGGTCTGGAACTTCGGCCATAATCTCATTCTGCACTTGAGCAATGATTTTGGCCGACGGCGACCGCAACAGAGTTGCTGCGTTGAGCATGGCGGCGGGTGTCGGCCAGCTGGGCCAAGAGCCGCAGAAGATCTGGTGGGGCGGTGGAGTACAGGAGCAAAATTGTGGCGGCCGCGCGTGGTGGGCTCAGCAACGGGCAACAAAAATGATGACCTGATACACTGGTTTTTGCCCGTGAGCGATGGGTAAGTCTATATATCCAGCTGTCTTGACGGCGCGGCCGGCATGCAATGGGCCAGCGGGACGCGGGGTAGTAAATGGCGCGTGACAGCTGATTGGATTGGCTCGCAAGTCCAAGTATGTTGGAAAAGCCAACACCATGTCACAGCCCTCTTGTCGCTCGTGCTGCTGAAAAGGCAAAGATGAGAAAGGTATCAACTGCTTGTCCGTGTGTTGTGGTCACCTGTAGGGACCACAAGAGGAAGCAGAGGAAGAGGACAAGGCGGAGAAAAATGGGGATTGGTGCCTCATTCCTGCCGCGCTTTCGCGAATCCATGTCCGCCACTCCGTCCGCTCCCCTTGGCTGCAAGCACGCATGCAATGACCTTGACTTGTTGACAACGTCTGTTCTGAACCATGCATCTTGTTGTCAGAACTTTTTATCTCTCTCTCTCTCTCTCTCTCTCTCTCTCTCTCTCTCTCTCTCTTTCTCCGAAAGCCGTTTCGTTTGCAACACACGGAAGACACAACGACAACGCACACACGAGCGCGCGTGTGTGTGTGCCGGCTGAAACAGGCAGGCACAGGGCCCCCTCTCTCCCTCTCTCCCTCTCTCCCTCTCTCCCTCTCTCCCTCTCCCTCTCTCCCTCTCTCCCTCTCTCGCTGCATGGGTGTGTGGCTCATTGATGTGTGAAATGCTGGTGATGGTGGAAGGCGACGTAGAGGCCGCGACGACCGTTCTTCGACATGCCGCGCCAGAACGCCACTGCGCGGCGGCAAAAGCGCCAGCAGCGCAAGGATAAGCAACAGCGCGTTGCGAGCAAGAAGGAGTTGGCAAATGCCAAGGTGCAGGCGCTGGACCCGCGACTGGGAACACGTCATTTGTCTTGAGCGCGCGCGTGCTGCCTCACTGAACGCATGCCATGCATGTCAGGCTGCTGCGGCAGGAGAAGAGGACGAGGATCTCGACGCACTCTTGGCCCAGTTTCAAGCCCTGGACAAGGAGGCCACCACCTTCCGCGAAGTCGTGTGCAAGGCCCCGTCCCCACGCGCCTATGCGGTCCTCGCCCCGCACCCGCTCAACCATGACGAGCTCGTCCTTCTCGGCGGCGAGTTTAACAACGGCCACAAAACCTTGATCTATGGAGGTGCGTCTGCAGAGCTGTACTAGCCTGCAGCGGCTCTCGTGCACAAGCTTGGCTCATCTCCGGACGGCTTCCCTGCACGCCACACGCAGACCTCTTTGTATACAACGCCAAAAAGGACCAATGGCGCCAGCTCACCATCCCGGGTTGCCCGCCGCCCCGCTCGGGCCATCAAGCTGTCACGCTCGGCCGCTTGGGTGGACAGGTGTGTCCCTGCAACCTGGTAACCCTCAAGGCTCGCCGTTCTACTTTCTCCCTCCCCAACTTATCCCGCCCTTTCAACTCGGACCGTGGGAACAACAGATGTGGTTGTATGGCGGCGAATTTGCCGCGCCCTCTGGGGCTCAGTTTCGACACTACAACGATCTGTGGGTATGGCACATGGCTGACAACCGCTGGGAAAATATGCCCGGACCCCACCCTCCAGCCCGTAGCGGTATGTATGACAGGCCCCTTGATCGCCTCAAAAAGCCCCCAGCGCCTCGTCAAGTGCCGTCAAGTGCTGAACCCCTACTTTGATTAGGTCATCGCATGGTCGTCTTCAAGAAGAATCTGCTCGTCATGTTCGGTGGCTTCCAAGACGACGGCAAGAAGGCTCCCAAGTATTTCAACACCGTCCACATCTACGACCTCGACCACTACAAGTGTGTATTTGCTCGCCCGTCCCCGGCGTGAGACCTTCTAGCAGCGTGCGCAAAGCAGCCTGACTGGCTCGCGGTCTAATTCTCCCACCACAGGTGGAGCCGCGTGGATTTTCCCCCCACCATGCCTGGGCCTGCTGCGCGCTCGGCGTGTCAAATGGTGGCACTGCAAGACCAAGTGATCATCACCGGAGGCTATGCCCGCGAGCGTGTCAAAGGCGACGCTTACAAAGGCGTGGTACGACTGCGAGTCACCTGTGCCGAACCTCCGGCCAGCCACACACAGCAGACCCTCGCTGCTGCCCTTCTTTCCCTTCTCGTTGACCCCAATGCCATACCTTCCCTCTGCTATGCAGGTCTTTGATGATGTCTGGAGCCTGGTAGCGGAACAGGATGAGACCGCCTTTCAGCACTACGAAGCCGAGTGTGACAGCTCCAAACCAAAGCCACCCGGCAAAAAAGATGGCACTCATGCCTGTGGCTACAAGTGGTCCTGGCAGCGCATGCGCCCCGGTATGTTACCAATAGCCCCTTCTAATGTCTCAAGTATCAGACTCGGGCGCCCCTTCCCCTCCCTTCCCTTAAAAAAATAAACAAATGATAATAACAGAACACGTTTAGTCGGGCTTGCTTTTTGACATGACTTGCGGTTGTTCACAGGTGGTGAAACTCCACCAGTGCGTGCCGGCGCGGCAGCCGTTGCACGCTCGGTAACTCAGATGATTTCCTTTGGCGGCGTGTACGTCGATTGCCCTGAAGCTGCTGCGTGTGACTAGAACCTGCCGTTATCGTCCCTCACCCCGTCATCTTGTTTCAACTCTTGCTGCATCTTCGTTGTTCTTTGCTTCTCAGACAAGACGAGGAAACGGATGATGCTTTGCAAGGCCAATTCTACAACGATGCCTACCTTCTCAACACGGCCAACAACATGTGGGCACGTATGAAACTCAAAGCGAAGAAGGGTTCAGCCGCTGCGGTGCGTTGTTTATCGCTTCTTTTGATCGATATCTTCCTACCCTACCTATTCTCCCTTGCCGCTTTTGCTGTGTCCGCATTCTACCAAGATCACTGGGCCATTATTGCCTTGGGCTCATGATGTATTTGCCAAATGTGTAGGCGGCGGAAGAGCCGTTGTGGCCCTCTGCACGCATTGGCAGTCTTTTGGCCATGCAGGGCAATACGCTGTATCTGTATGGCGGTGTAACTGAAGTGGGCGACAGGCAGGTCACCTTCAACGACCTGTACAGTATCGATGTGAACAAGATGCAAGAGTACGTCGGGCCAGAGGGTCTCGCACCCACCCTCACGCCCTTGTTTGTTGGCAAACTTTCCTCTCACATACCTGGCCGCCGATGTGCTGCAGGTGGAAAGTTCATGTCGAGATGGACTCTCGAGCTCAGGAATGGCTGCAAGAATCCAGCAGCTCAGAAGATGAAGAAGACGAAGAAGAGGAGAACTAGCGGTGATTTAATGCGTACGAGGGAACGCGAGAAGATGGAAAAAAACTCTTATCGCACAACGCGAGTGTTTGAGACGGACCAGCTCGCACAAGCATGGTGTGATCTTTTTTGCCATTTGTGTGAGATGCAATTAATTTTAAAGATTCGGTCATCTCGGAAGGACTCGGGATTTCAGCAGGCGAACATCAAGAGGGTTGCAAGCACATGGAGAAAGGGAGAAACGATCGAAGTATGACTAACTATTCTGCTCATTCCCTGGATAGGGCTGACCCGTTTGTGGCCCAGTACGATGTCGTGCCAGAGGATGTTCTGGGCAAGCTGGGAAACAATGGTGACACGCTCACGCACTGGGTATTGCAGCACCACCACCGGACGAGAAGGAAGAATATGAGAGTGCAGACGACACCGCAGGTGCTTGGCCTTCTGTGGCAGACGACGTGGCTCGGCCTGTATCTACGAGTGCCCGGATATCTAAAGAAGCCTTGGTTGAAAAGCATTCCGCCCAAGAAATGACCCAATAGACACACGAGCCTCAGTTGAAACGGTCGTAACCTTGCGTACAATGCAAGCATTGAGCTCAGACTTTGATGAGCAAGTCGGCTAATAACGTTCGCCCACAACCCAAGAGAAAGATTTATCCCACAACGCCGATTTATTTCTGGACATGTTCTCGATAATATCCCCTGTTCGGTCTGACTGCCCATATTCCATGTGAATTGTGACTCATTTTTTCAAAGTTTTTTTTTTTTTTTTTTTTTTTTTTTTTTCTCTCGCGGACTTTTCCGCGCCATTTCTCCGTCATTCTCCCTCGCTGATTCGATTCGCATATCAATTTTTAAACCAGAAACACACCGTTGGCCACACGCTTCGCTTGCCACACGTTGAAAGAAAGTGAGTATTTTTTTTTTTAAACCTTGAGACAGGTGACGTCAAGATTGTCGTGTCCTTTCTCCAGGACGGTGCGGATCCAGACCTGCGTACGACACAGCCGGAACCAACCCGGTTAGGGACAGCCGGCCAAGTGGAAAGAGGAGTAGCGCTCGGAGTAAGGAGCAATAAATGTCATGGCAAACTGGCTTACCCGCTTCTTGAAACCAGCCTTGACTGGCTCAGACTCGAGCTCATAGCACGTGGCCAAATTGTACAGCATTTCCTCGCTCAGCGTGGACATGCTAGGCAGCTCCTCCTCAAAGGTTGCAACGGCCTGCAACGCCAAAGCTCAAGTAAGAAAATACAGCAATCGCACAGCACCCAGCGCCATTCCTACCGCAGAAAGATCTCCTGAATAGAGCTGAGCCACCGCTTGAGCATTGACAACAGCCCCATCGTTTTCCACATCATCTGCGATTGCTGCCAGCGCTTCTACAGAAGCGTTGGCATTGCCTAAACAAACCCGGAGTGTCAGAAACACCGCGAGCCATATGGAACATCGCCCAACGGCAGGGCTGGGACAAAGACAAAGTCGGCAGAATGCTCGAACCGTTGCAGAGCTGAAGGAGGGCATCATTGATTGCAAGTTGGCGGCGGTCCGACAGTTGGTGGCGTTTCTGTGCGGCGGCATCGGCCAGAGAAAAGTGTCTGCTCCCGAGAAAAGAATCACCATTACACTCGAGGTCAAGAGAAGAAGTAGGCAGACTGTTGTGGACGGGGCTCAATGGTGCGTGGAACGGCCGGCGGCAAACATACTTGGCAGCCAACGATAGATGGCCGTGACTGAGAGCCATGCGACCAAGGCAGCTGTATAACATGACATGATCGTCATCAAGTTCCAGAAGCTGGGAAAACATGGCTGAGGCCGAGGACAGGTCGTTCAGGCGCAAGAGCAGATTGCTCAAGCTTAGAATCACGCGGCGTAGCCGTGCCACCCACAGTTCGCGCACCAGGCGTTGCTGGGACGACATTGCCGCATCCTAACGCAGTCATGCACGGCCGTGGTCGGGGGGGATAGCTGTTGCTCACAGGTCTGTGGAGGCGGACGGGAGCATGGGCCAGAGCATACCTCAGGCACCGTGGCCAGAGCTTGATTGCACACAGCACGTAGTAGGCAGAATCGATCCATGGTCAAGAGAGACTGTTTCGAGTGCAGAGGCAATTCAGCATGGATAAAGCGCAGCGAGAAGGGGACCATGCTGCCGGTTCGATGAGGATATTTGTTTGGGTACGCCTGATAAAAGAGGTCGGGGCGATCCCAGCCACCTGACCACGGCAAGGGAGGATGATGTGAGGCAACCAAGGCCAACATGCAGGAAGTACTGGCCCGAAAGATTTCTCGAGATGCGATCCGACCTTACCGAACGAGTCAAGTTCAGATGCCAGCGCTTCGTGCAGTTTGAATTTAATCATCATGATGGCCCGAATGAGCCACACCTGACGGGCATAACACTGCCTTTGAGAGCCATGCATTGGTTTGGCCAAGAGCTGTCGATGACCCAAAGCTCAAGATAGGACTGCCGAAACGGAGAGCAAAGCAGACCTGCATATAGAACGAAGTGGGCGCCTTTTCTCCGTGAGCCTTGATCAAGAGCGTGGTCCGATGCAACACCTAGCACGAGAAGGGGGCCCGCGATGCGGGTGAGCTGAGCACGTTGACACAGGCCATGTGCATCGGGCTGCGTAGATTGAGGGGAAATACCATGCTAAAGCTGCCACTGGCAGTGAGGTCTCGGAGAGTTTGAAGTTGCTCCTCCTCAGATGCACGCTCCAACCAATCGCTGGTTGTGACATAGGCAGCTGGGCTGTTGGTGGTGGACTGGCTGGGGTGGTGCCGACTGATGGCCTCGACGCCTTGCTTGTGTGCAAATTGTGCCAGCTGGTCGGGCTAAAAATCGGGTGATCGTCATTCCGAGGAAGAAAGGTGAGCACAGGAAAGTACAGAGGTGAAAGGAGGGAGGGGTCATCGGGATGAGCACGGCGCGGGTGACGGACCACCATGGACGTATGATGCAGAACCNGGGGCTTGGAGGGCAGTGGTGTACTCGCCATCCTTTTCGAGACGGGCATGGATGGTGCTCTGCCGATAACACNCCCAAAAAAAAAAACATAAAAAAAAAAATCAAACAAAAAAATAAAAATAAAAAAACAGGCCCGCCACAGGAGGGGTAGGGATCGAATAACGGCGGTGATGGCGGAAGCATACCAAGATGGAAGCGGAGAGGGGCCATTGGGCAGCGCGCGAGGAGTAGCCGTCCCAGGTGGCAGGTGCAGCAATTGAATCGCTGCCAGCTGTGGTGGGGCGGCTACTCAGGCTGGTGGAGCGCCGGGAGGAGGATGGGCTGGCATTGTTTGAGGCGTTACTGTCCTGTGGGGCATCTTCGAGGAGAACGGCGGCCGTGTTGTTGGGGGTTGAAGCCACGCCGGCCTCGAGCGCTTCACCGGGCGGGGATTCAAGCTGAGCCCCGGGAGCAGCGATGGGCCCATCGTTAACATCATCATTATCATCGACGGTGGAGAGACGGTCGCGGCTCAGGGCGGCGCCTTGGTCTGGACCGGCTGAGAAGGAATTCAGATCAAGTTGGTTGAGGCCGGCCGAGTCCATGCGGCGATGACCGCGTTTGGGCTTGACTGCTGCGGTGGAAGCTGGGGTCGGGGTAGCATCGGCCTCGTGCTCAGAGATGACGGTGGCGGCATCGGATGCCGTGCTTTCTGACAGCGTGTGTATGGCCGTGTCCACGGGCGTGGCCGAAATGACCGACGGCTCGTCCGTGGTGGCGGACAAGGATTCGATGCCCTTGGCCTCGGGGGTGGGCACCAATGCCGAGGGAGCTTCTTCAGATGATGCGGCGGGCCAGGAGCTGGGGCCCGTCTCGGAGGACTCTGTGGGCAGCGCGTCGTCCTGGTCCGCTGGCGTCTGTCGATCATCGCCGTGGCTTTTGGCCTGATTCTTCTCCACTTCCTCTGCACCGTCGCCTGCTCGTTCTTCTTCTCCTTCCGCCGCCGCCGCCGCCGCCGCCTCTTCTTCTTCCATGGCAATCATGGCTGCCGAGTCGCGCTGGGCCACGGGCGGTCGGGGCTCCTCGTTCAAGTCCACCTCGACCTCTTCCGACTCTGCCTCATCCTGCACCAAACCCCCATCCAGAGGCGCCACCACCAGATCCCCCTCCATGGCCACCTCTCTACCAAACCACTCTGCAAAGAACCATAAACGCCACTGCCACTACCACTGGCCACGTCGACTGCCTCCTGCTGCTGCTGCTGCTGCTGCTGCTGCCACTGCTGCCACTGCCACTGCCACTGCCACTGCCACTGGCCACGTCGACTGCCTCTTCCTGCTGCTGCTGCTGCTGCTGCTGCTGCTTCTTCCTCTCTCTCTCTCTCTCTCTCTCTCTCTCTCTCTCTCTCTCTCTCTCTCTCTCTCTCTCTCTCTCTTTTTCGCTCTTCAAGCGAAAAAGTAAAATACAAAAAAGGTGTAAGAGACAGTGTGATATGAATTACACTTTAGAGGGGTAAAGAGTGTATTGGACCGTAGACTATGCAGCATGAACACTGCAGTTTCTTAAAGAGAAAAGTGAAAAGGTATGTGCTCGCTGGCTCTCTCTGGCTCTCTGGCTTTCTGGCTCTCTGCCTCTGCCCCTGTCTCTGTCTCTGTCTCTCTGCCTCTGTCTCTCTGTCTCTCTCTGTCTCTCTCTGTCTATCTGTCTCTCTGTAGCTTTCTCTCTCTCTCTGTCGCGCTCGTTCTCTCTCTCTCTCTCCCTCTCTCTCCTCTCTCTCTGTAGCTCTCTCTCTCCTCTCTCTGTCTCTCTGTCTCTCTCTCTCTCTCTGTCTCTCTCTCTGTGTGTGTGTGTGTGTCCCTGATCTCTCTGTCTTTGATCGCTCTTGATCTCTTCGGGTGGCGGCGGTGGCGGTGTTGGCGGCAGAGCAGGTGCTGGCAGAGGAGTTCTCGTGCTTAAATGTGTGTGTGTGTGTGAGGGGTGGGGGGTGGGGGGCGATGAAGTCTTCTCCCTCTCTCCCCCTTTCTCTCCCTCTGTATCTCTGTGTGCATGTCTGTCCTCTTGTGCAGGCAGCTCGCGCCTTGGATCGGCCAAAGCTACCGCATCGTCTCAACTGATGCACTTGTGTGTCTGTGTGCTCCATCAATTGCTACGACTACTGCTGCTGCTGGGCGTGATTAGGGATCGTCGTTCATTGGTCAGCCCTGTCGTGGGTGCATGAGGCTTGTCTTTGTCCTTGCGCCTCGACCGCTATCATGGAAGCCGTTCTCGAGCTCCTGGGCTTCCAAAAGGATGTGTTTGGTGAAGTCCGCCGCATGAACAAACGCCAGGTCTGTGGAATCTTACCTCTCAAGCCCATCATGGCCTCGTGTCGTCGTCTCAATTGGACGCCAGCCCTCTCGTCCTGGGATCAGTCTCACGCGTCTTGATCGTGCCTCCACTGCAGCTGGCACATCAAGTGCTCAACTTTGCCATGATCGTCTTTTCTGCCCTCATGATCTGGAAGGGTCTGATGGTGGTGACGGGCAGCGAGAGCCCCATTGTCGTTGTTCTCAGGTTCATCAACTCCCCCTTCTTGATGCCCCGCATGCCTGCCACTCACAGTGACTGGAATGGCCTCTCATAATACGACAACCTGTGCTCCAACTTGTGCTCTTGTTCCCGCATCCGCTTCAGTGGAAGCATGGAACCCGCCTTTCAGCGTGGCGATTTACTCTTTCTGACCTACAATCGCACTGATCCGATTCGTGTTGGCGAGATTGTCGTCTTCAAGGTAGAGCTCGTAACCTGCCCCTGCTTTTCAAGGCCACCATCCTCAGCTCATTTTTTTCAATAAACGAACAACACTAGGTTGAGGGCAGAGATATTCCCATTGTTCATCGCGTGCTCAAGCTACATGAAGAGTGTGTCGATCTATCCTTGGTTTCCAGAGCTGTCCAACCAACGATGATTTTCCCATACCCCCTTCTTACCTTTGCTTTTGCTTCTGCTTCTGCCTCTGCTTCCTACTGCCCATCTCTTAGCAAGCAAGGCAACATCAAGTTTTTGACCAAGGGTGATAACAATCGTGTTGATGACCGGGGACTGTACGCACAGGGCCAGCTCTGGCTCAAACCCAAGGACGTGGTTGGCCGAGCACGAGGGTTCGTCCCTGGCATCGCCTCTCCACGCAACGCCCCCGTCGTGTCCCTTGCTTGTGCACGCCCGTAAACCGCGTCTGATTGCCTCCACGCGACTTGACCGACCTTTTTGATCATCTTAGATTCATCCCTTACGTGGGCATTGTCACCATTCTTATGAACGACTATCCCGCCTTAAAGGTGGGTCGTCGCCCGCTCGCACTTGCGCCTGTTGCTGGCTTGACCTTCTCTGCTCTTCTTACACCGCCTTTCGATTTTGATACTGTAACACCACAGTTTATACTGCTAGCCACCTTGGGTGCGTATGTGCTACTGCACAAGGAGTAGGCGACAAGCTCGACGACATTTGTAGCTTGCCCACAATCCCGACAAAAAAAAAAAGCAAACCAGTGATCTCGATGGACACTGACGCTGCGTGCGTTTAATCCTTGAGCTGAAATCGAAACGACAGAGCCAAGCATGCCAACAAATGCAAACTCACACGTACCGCTCTGCTTTTGCTGCACCTGGGGCACCCTTTGCTGATCCGATGCGCCATGCTGATGTCATGATTATTGGCGATGGGGACCACGAGAAAATGAAGAAAGAAGTCAATCACACCTTGACGCGCCTTTGAATGTTTGCAACAGGCCAATCTGATGTGATGTAGCTTTGTACGCCTATGGCGCTGTTGGTTCCAAGGCAAGAGATCAGCACGTATGACCCTTTTTCGTCTGTCGCTGGCGCAAGAGATCAGCACGTCTCGGCCTTTTGCCAACCTGTGGTGTTTGACCGTGGCAGACCAACATCAAATCCGACGTCACGACCTGAACAGAGGCTTTCAGAGTGCGAGCCTGAGACCACGATCAGACGCGATGGCCAATCAATCAAGCTACCAGAATCCCGGGGAAGAAGATAAAAAAAGCACACGGTCGGGCGTGTTCTTCCCCTCGTTCCTGAACTTGCTCGTCAACTAGCTCTTGGATATCTCCCCCAATCCCTGAAGCTCGATTCCCTCGCTCTGTGTGTCTCTGTGTGTCTCTGTGTGTCTCTATGTGTCTCTGTGTGTCTCTGTCTCTGGCAATTGACCTCTCTCTTCCTGAGTCTCTCTTTGTGAATCTCAAAGCGTTTTGCATGCATGAATGCATGCAAAACACAGACTGACGGCGAGACTGGAGGCCGTGTGCGAGGAGGCAGGCGGGTTGGCAGTTGGGAACGGACGAGAATGCGGACGTGCTTACTCCTGGCCTTTGAGTTGCTCGCGCTGGGCCCGGTCAAGTGGTCCAGGGCTCAAGTGGCAACAACGCCGAGTGGTGAACCTCAACCCTTTGATGGTAGGCCACGCTGCCGCGCCGGCGTGTACCTGGCCGTGCTCACCAGTAGCTTGCTGCATGCATCACCCCTTCTCAGTGCCTCTCACGACGCCCAGCTGGCCCACCACGGGCCAGGCAGATCCACCCTTTGCCGAGTCAGCACAAGGCGTGACCATTATTATCGGTGAGCGATCGCCTGATTCTTTTTGCTTCCGAGACTGGGCTCATCAAGAAACTTTGTGACTGTTTGGCTCATGTTGGCAGCCGCCGTATGCGGTGCGCTTGCACTGGGCTTGGTGGTGGCTGTGGTCTGTTTTTGCCAACGCGTGCGTGTTGACCCGACGCTGGAACAACAGGAGCGCCTTGGCAACCTTGAGGTCAGTTTACCGACGTGATCCTTGTTTCGTGCACGAATGAGGGATGTTTCCCACCAAAAAATGAGCCGTCTGACTGCTGGCGCTTGATGGTCGATCCACCAATGCTAGATGGATGCCTTGGAAGGATCGCTGCCCTCTTTCAAGGGCGCTCGCAGTATCGGCGCGTGGCTGAATCACGAGCCCGCCACACCTCGGCCACATGCCGCTCCTCTCTCCTGACCATCATCCTTGTTTTATTTATTGACGGTACACCGGGTTTTTTTTTATAATATTCATCGTTTCGCAGTTTAATAGACTTCAGTAGACATGCCTATGGCACATTGTGGGAATATGGATGTTGCTGTCTTTGTGATGGAACGCATTGACCGTCACCTGTACGGCTGACGAGTCTGCTCGGCATAGAGCCGTGCTTGCCACAGCAATGGTGGTGAGAGCACCACGGAGCCTTCCCCCTATTCGAGGGGCAAGAGCGTGCGAGGGTCAGCATTTGGACTGTTCCTCGAGATACCTCTGCAGCACATTGCGGTCTTACTTGGACGGACGAGGACCGTCTCGAAGATTGGCCACGCCTTGTGGCTGACGATCGCCGTGTGTGCTGCTTAGCCCCTGGGGTCTTGGCCGGCTTTGTATCAACGTCATCCAATGGCCCCTGCCATGCTGGACGCGGGCTGGCACTCCGCGCGTGGGTGGTGGCTGCGCCGCCAAGCTGCGATTTCTTCTGGTAGCACAAGCGGTGGAGGCCCAAAGAGCATGAGAGGAAAGAAATTGCAATGTGCATTGCACAAGCACGAAGTTGGGCATCAGTGCGAGATGAGCATACGTGTTTTTTGAGCCAGGCCGCGTAGGCACGCTCGGCCTTGGCGCGACGCTCGGCCAGCGCTTGTGCCTGCTGACGGACCCTCTCTAGCTCTGTGCGGACGACCGAGAGTAATGGTTGTCAGGCAGATGCAACGAGCTGGGGGAAAAGAAAAGAAAGAAAAGTAAGGGCCTCTCAGCACGGCGCGTGGTAAAAATGGCAGACCTTGTTGGCGAGACTCCTTCTCGCGCTCGGCCACCATCTCGAGCCATTCATTGACAGAGGCGACCTGGCCACACCAATGACGCGTGAGCGTATCTCGGGTCGACCAAAAGTCGACACTCAAAGAAAGTCAAGGCAAGAAAAGCAAGCGGGGTGGGGCGGCGAAAAAGTATGCTGCGTAACCTGTTGACGATCGCGTTCCGCTTTGCGTTGTTGGCGTTCTTCCTCAGCAGCTTGTGCCGCAGCCGCAGCGTCCAGCTCTTGTCTTGGAAAGCAGAAAAAGGAAAATGAAGAACACAAGGAAGAAAGCATGAGCCAAAGCCCGTGTCAAGGCGGCGCGGTTGGGTCGGCATGCAGTCACCAGGTAGCGAGCCAGTGGCCAGCGGGAGCTGGTATATGAACCTACTGTTCGCGTTCGCGATCTTCTTTATTCTTCCCATTAAGCCAGAGGAAAAACATGTCTTCAGCGCGCTGGCGCTGGCGGCGTTCAGCAGCCAGGCGCTCGGCCTCCTTGCGATCCTGCTCTGCCTGTAACCCGCTCCCGGGGAGCATGGATGAGACCGATCGGCAGAACGGAACATGACAAAAGCAGGAACAACATGTCGAAAAGAAGGGACGTACCTCGGCTTCGCGAGCAGCATGTCGAGCTTGCCGCTGTGCTTCATCCTTGGCGCGGGCCCAATCGTCGAAGGTTTGGCCGCGCAAGGGACGAGTTGACTTGAGCACGCGCGATGCTTCGGCGGTACCATGGGTCTTGGAGGCAGGCTTCGACCCGGCTGCTTCTTGACGAGGGCGACGACTCGGAGCCTTGACTTTTGCACTGTGACGTGCTTGAGCGCGATATGCCAAGCGATCCTGATAGAGATGACGGTGACGGCAGCGGCCTGAAGCGCATTCATCATCGCTTTCATCGTCATCGCTATGTGCGTGAGCAGGGTGCGGGTCGTGGTCAGAAACGTCATCTGCACGGTCCGACAAGCCTTTGAGTCGTGAGGCAGGTGACAAACGACGGCGGCGGCGGGCAATGTCAGGTTGCGAGGATGAATGTTTATTGCTTTTGCGTTGCGCCGGGCCGTCTCGCCTCGCCTTGTCATCGGCGCCGTGGTCTTGATCTTGGTCTTGGTCGACATCCTCGTCGTCGTCCTCGTCGTCATCATCATCATCATCTTCCTTATATTGCTGCCCAAAGGTGGGCCTGACTGTTGGTTCAAGCTGCATCTGCAAGAGCTCATGAAGCGCAGCCCGCTCATCCGCAGCCTGCGCGTCAGCAGCGTGATTGGCTTCTGGCGGGTCTGCCTGACTCGCGTGGTCGGGGGCTTTCTGATCCACAGGGTCATGACCAGAGTGCAGAGCTGAACCATTGACGTTGCCACCAGTCTTGGCGTCAACTAGGTCAACGGCATCAGGGGCAATGTTGCCATTATTATCATCATCATCATCATCATCATCACTGTGGTCATTGGTGAGAGCAGCAGCAAAGTCGGGCTCTCGCCAGGGATAGGTGTAGCGCGAGCCAACTTGTACGGCCGGGCCGGCGGGAATGCGCGCGCGAGGAGGTGGAGCTGCAGGGAGCGGGGATGCAGGTTCTGATGCAGTTGATGCCTGACTGGCGGGTGAGTGGGTGATGGAGATGTCCAAGGGTTGCTGATCCAGCTTGGGCGTTCCTGGGGCGGCTTGATCTTGTTTGGCAGCCGGCTCATACCCGCGCGCCGTGTAGTGAAAATACCTCGGACCCCCACCACCACTGCCGTTGCTGCTTGATGTGCTGCCACTCAACCCAGCCCACGCCAGCGTCTCCCGCCAAGGCATGCGCCCACTTCCCGCGGCCGCCGCCATCCAGACGTTGACAAGCCGATCGGTCGCGTGTGTGTGTGTGTGGTGTGTGTGTCCGTTAAAAATTTCGAGAAAATTTCGAGCTCAAGCTCGGGGTTGAAAATAGAGAGTCATGGTACAGAATAAGTCTGGCAGTGGGTCAGGATGAAAGTAAAATACATCTGGGGTTTGTTCGTTGGGCTTGTACTTGGAGGGGGTGGTACAGTTAAAGAACCAAGTGTTGTTATCGGACGGTTGCTAAGCGGCGATATTTTGTGAAGTTTGGGCAAAGTTTTTTCGCAACGCGCCATTGCGCAGTCTCCAACAGAAAGGCCCACCACACCTGCACGCCTGTCGAGAAGCGTGATTAGCTTACCACCACCACACCTAAGCAATACTTACACCTGGTAACCAAAGACTCACAGTTGGTAGATCCGTGTGTGTGTCACACAAACCAGCATGTAAAACACCTGTTCCCACCACAGGTTCGCATGTGTGGCAACGAAGCGTTTATTTTCCCTCTCTCTCTCTCTCTCTCTCTCTCTCACACACATTTACACACAACTGAACGGTGAGTGTGTGTCGGTTAGTGGCGTACCTCTCTCCTCTGGCGCTCGCTGCGGAGAAATGGCAGCGGGCTTTGGTGGTTGTGTGCATTCAAAAATGGCTCTGTAGTGATGCGGAGAGGTGGTGGAGTTGTTGGGTATTGCAATGGGGAACGTGGTGTCGGGGTCGTGGGATGGCTGATGCGGTTTTTTTTTTTTATTCAAACGGTTGTCAACGATGTTGTGAACGCGTGCTGGTTTGAACAAACAAGACGCGAACCTGTACGCCGGCAGCGCCAGCACACAGCACACAGCACACACATGCGCGCACACACTTTCCCTCGTGGGTCCCCGTTGAAGAGCCTGGTTGCCCGCAGTTGTTCTTTGATGTTGTCGCCCCCCTTTTTTTTTTCTTGTTTTGACAGTACCGCGGCCAAGTTTTTTTTTTTTTTTTTCCCGTCTTTGGATTGCCCATATTTGGCACATATCCATTTCCCTTTCCTACGGCTGGCTCGCATCATTGATTTTCTCTCTTACAACGGGTGTTGCTTTTGTCGCCGCCTCGCCCACGTCACGTCATAGGACGACATCTCAGCCAACAGCGAGTATGTCGGCAATCACTCAGCTCAACCCCAAGGCCGAGGTGGCGCGCGCCGCCGTGGCCCTTCAGATGAACTCGACCGCGGCGCGAGGTCTGCAAGATGTGCTCAAGTCCAACCTCGGCCCCAAGGGTACCATGAAGATGCTTGTCTCTGGATCGGGCGACATTAAGCTCACCAAGGACGGCAACGTCCTCCTCAACGACATGCAGATCCAGCACCCCACGGCTTCCCTGATTGCCCGTGCCGCCACAGCCCAGGACGACATTACCGGCGATGGCACCACCTCCAACGTTCTCTTGATTGGCGAGCTGCTTAAGCAAGCCGAGCTGTACATTAGCGAGGGCCTCCACCCACGCCTCGTCGTTGATGGCTTTGAAAAGGCCAAGGATGTTGCTCTGGAAGTGCTTGACAAGATCAAGTCTGACCGCGAGGTCGATCGTGAGCTCCTCTGCAAGGTAGCCCGCACTTCCCTCCGCACCAAGGTTTCGCAGAAGATGGCCGATCAGCTCACCGAGACAGTTGCCGATGCCGTCCTGGCCATTCGCCAAGACAAGTCCCCCATCGACCTCTTTATGATCGAGATCATGACCATGAAGCACAAGACAGAGACAGACACCTCCCTGATCCGTGGCATTGTCCTCGATCACGGCTCTCGCCACCCCGACATGCCCAAGCGCCTTGAAAATGCCTACGTCCTCACCTGCAACGTGTCCCTCGAGTATGAGAAGACGTGAGTGGTGTCCTCCGCCAGGTCTTATCAAATTTTGGCCTTGCTCTACTTGTCTACTTGCTGTGGGTATTACATATGCCTGCATGTGTGGTGTGGTCACGTGATGAAAACGAGACGGGCGGACAGAACTCGAGGACTGTACAACCCTCGGCTTTATACATGTTGAACGTCTCGATCCGATGACTTCTCCCACTGTTTTCCCAATCTGTTGTATATTTTCTTTTGCACTTGCTTGCGTGTGCCGCGTGATGAAAACGAGACGGGCGGACAGAATTCGAGGACTGTACAACCCTCGGCTTTACACATGTTGAACGTCTCCATCTTATGGCACACGCTTTTGATATCTTTTTAAACACGTAGTTTCCCCTCCCCCATTTTTTTTTTTTTGGTTATTTTGCCTGTTGCACTTACCCTCATGTTCTCATGGCCCTCCTCTCTGCTAACAGCGAGATTAACTCTGGCTTTTTCTACAAGACGGCCCAGGAGCGCGAGGCCATGGCCATTGCAGAGCGCAAGTTTATCGACGATCGCGTGCAGCGCATCATCGACCTCAAGCGCAAGGTCTGCACCGAGGAGAACGGCAAGTCCTTTGTCATTGTCAACCAAAAGGGTATTGATCCCATCTCCCTTGACCTACTGGCCAAGGAGAACATCATTGCCCTGCGTCGTGCCAAGCGCCGCAACATGGAACGGTTCGTACCATAGACGCCGGCTTGTTTTCTCGAGTCTTTACGTGTTTTACATCCTTTTCCACTCCTTTTCTTACACACAAAACACATCAAACCACATGACTCGCCATCCCTTGAACGACCCTTGGAGCATTTGTGATGATTTTTTTCACAGACCTGTACCGAGCGATACCGTTCCTTTGGAGTGGTATCAATGCGGATATGTGCTGCTGAAATGCTCCGAGTCATCGTTGATTGTTCGACATGATGTGCCTTGTTGTCGTTGTTGTATGCTTGTGGTGGGCAAGTGCGTGGCTTTTGCTACGCCTTTGGCCTCAGGTCAAAAGCATTGTTGATGATATATTTCACAGACCTGTACCGAGCGACCCAAGCTTCGGCTTGGTGTCAATGCGGACATGTTGCCTCTGAAATGCTTCTTTGTACCCCTTTTTTTCTGGCCGTTCGTGTTTTACGCTCTACTACATGCATTGGTCGTGAGCATTGGTGATGATATATTTCACAGACCTGTACCGAGCGACCCAAGCTTCGGCTTGGTGTCAATGCGGACATGTTGCCTCTGAAATGCTTGCTTTTACATTGTGTTTCACTCTCTACTACATGCATTGGTCGTGAGCATTGGTGATGATATATTTCACAGACCTGTACCGAGCGACCCGAGCATTAGTTTGGTGTCTATGCGGACATGTTGCCTCTGAAATGCTTGCTTTTTCTGTTGCCCATCCGTGCTTGTGTTGGTTTGCTTTCTTGGTGTCGATGAAGAACCAGGCCATGCCTCCCTGTTTTGCTGACCACCGTGTGTTTGCCCTGCCGTTTTCATTTACAGGGTGACGCTGGCTTGTGGTGGCATGGCCATGAACTCAGTGGATGATTTGGATGAGTCTGTGCTTGGTCATGCTGGCGTTGTGTACGAACACGTGCTCGGTGAGCAAAAGTACACTTTTATTGAGGAGGTCGAGAACCCCCGGTCTGTGACCATTTTGATCAAGGCGCCAAACGACTACACCATCAGTCAGATCAAGGACGCCGTGCGTGACGGTCAGCGTGCCGTCAAGAACGCCATTGATGACAACAGCGTTGTCCCTGGTGCCGGTGCTTTTGAAATTGCGGCACATCGCGCCCTGGTTGAGGCCAAGCGCAACGTCAAGGGCCGTGCCCGCCTTGGTATCCAGGCTTTTGCCGATGCCCTGCTCGTCATCCCCAAGACGCTGGCTCAGAACGCGGGTTTCGACCCCCAGGACACCATTGTCACCTTGCTTGAGGAGGCGCAAGACTCAGACGATGTTGTTGGTGTGGACATTAACACTGGTGAGGCCTGCCTGCCCACAGATGAGGGCATTGTCGACAACATTTGCGTCAAGCGCCAGCTGCTCAAGTCATGTACGATGATTGCCTCTTCCCTGTTGCTTGTCGATGAGGTCATGCGTGCCGGCCTCTCTTCGTTGAAACCTGGAGAATAAACCTCCCGATAATCGACTGTATATGAGAATAAACACTACTCTAGTCTGTCTGAAACAAATTGCCAACAGCTGGAGAGGGGGTGTCACTTTTATCATTTCAATTGGCGACATGACCAAGAGGAACAAAAGTAACCAGGCTTGAAACATGCAAGAGCTTGAATGTGTGCATGCGCGAAGCTCCTTACAGGGGGGTGCCGAAGCGAGAGTGCAAGAGGTCGTACAACAAGGCCACGCCATAGCCGGTGCCACGCTCTCCCTCAAACGCGGGGGCTGCCATGTCAATCTACAAGGGGAGGAGAGGGGGGGAGGAGAAGGGCAAGCACCAAACCACCACAACGCCAAGCAAAAGATGAGAAAGGAAACCAGCCCACAAGGACGGGCCGGGGAGGGCGCTTGAATGTGCGGCAAACTCACGTGCAGCCAGGCGTGTTGGTCCACAAAGCCGTCGGGCAAGTGATTGCCAATGAACTGGGCGGCACAAGACACTTGAGCGTTGGAGCGGTTGCGAACGCTGTTCTTCATATCAGCGACCGAGCTGGCAAACTCGTTGGAAAAGAGCTCGGGGCACCACATGAGGGGATGGGTCAAGTCACCGCTGCGTCGGCCAGCACGCACGGCGTCTTGCTCAACGTCCTCGCTGCTGCACACAATGCCTGCATGCAGCTGGCCCGTGGCAATGCCCTGGGCGCCTGTGAGGGTGCACATGTTTAGCAGCAACTCAGGCTTGAAGGTCTGTGCGGCATAGGACACGGCATCCGCGAGGACGAGGCGACCCTCGGCGTCGGTGTTGTTGATCTCGACCGTCTTGCCGCTGTACATGACATGAATATCGTCGGGACGTGTGGCGCGTGGGCCCACGGCGTTTTCAGCACAAGCCAGCAAACAGTAGAGATTCTGGGAAAAGCCTGTTTTGACCAGGGTGGCAAAAGCGTGAAGCACGCCCGCCGCGCCACCCATGTCCCGCTTCATGCCTGTACAAATGCCAAAGCAAAATGATTCGTGAGTGCGGAACAGGCGAGCAACAGAGAGAGAGACAGAGAGAGAGACAGAGAAAGAAAGAGAGAGCGCAAGAGTGGGTGCCGCAACGACATACCAGGCATGAACGTCTTGCCCTTGATGGAGAGACCTCCCGTGTCGTAGACAATGCCCTTGCCAGCCATGGCCACGGCGCGGGTGGCACCGGCGGGCTCATGCTTGAGCACGACCAGACGAGGGCCATCCTCGGCTGCCTTGCCAACGCCATAGATGCCACCAAAGCCCTGTGCCTGCAAATCCTCGCCAATCACCTCTTCAACCACCACACCGGGGAGCGTGTCCGCCACAGCGCGAGCATGGGCGGCCAGCTCGGAGACGGGGAGCTCGTTGCATGGCATGTCTACCAGGCGCGCGCACTGGCGGACGTGCTCCGCAAGGATGGTGGCATGCTGGAGCACAGTCTCGTTGGTGAAAAAGCTCTGGCCCAGGTGGAAGGAGATGGTGACGTGGGTGCTTGAGGACGTCTCGCTCGCGTTTTTCTTGCGCGTGTAGATTTGGCAAGTGCGCGCCACAGCGGCCGTCAGGGCCACAACGGCACCGCGCGACTCCACTTCATCCTCGATACTTGGCAGCACAACCACCACCGAGGTGCGTGCACCACTGTCCACGTCGCTGATGAGTCGGCTCACCGCATCCGGGCGATACTAGAAGCAGGCGTTGGCAAATCATTGAATGTCGTGTGTCAGTGGCTTTCCGTCAGCGGATGAGACTAAATTCGGGTTTTCTCGTTTACTTGTTGGCACACAGTCCCCTTCACCCTTGAGGCATCCGTCCGTGCGAGTGGCTGCTGCCAGGGGCTGACTCACCTTGCAATTGTAGCGAGTGGATTCCTCGGGGATGAAGACAAGGTCAATCAGACGCACGTCGGCACCCGCATGGGCGACAGTGGCGTGAGCCTTGCCACCGCGCTGGCCCGAGACGGAAGCACCCCGGCACACGGCCACCAGCAAGTCGGCATTCTCCGCCTCCAAAACGGGCAAAGCTTCCTCAATCGCCGAGCGGAACCCCACGTACACGGTCCGCTGAGCCGTCGTATCAGGCTGCGCCGCCACAACAATCGTCGCTGGCATTGTTGCGGTCAACAAGAACGAAGAAAATAAAGAGAGGGAAGAGAGAGAGAGCGTGTGTGAGAGAGAGAGAGAGAGAGAGAGAGAGAGAGAGAGAGAGAGAGAGAGAGAGAGAGAGAGAGAGAGAGAGAGAGAGAGAGAGAGAGAGAAAGACAGACAGACAGACAGACAGACAGACAGACAGACAGACAGACAGACAGACAGACAGACAGACAGAGACAGAGAGACAGACAGAGACAGACAGAGACAGACAGAGACAGACAGAGAGACAGACAGAGAGACAGAGGGACAGAGACAGAGACAGAGACAGAGACAGAGAGAGACAGAGACAGAGAGAGACAGAGACAGAGACAGAGACAGAGACAGAGACAGAGACAGAGAGAGAGACAGAGAGAGACAGAGAAAGACAGAGAGAGACAGAGACAGAGAGAGAGAGAGAGAGAGACACACACACACACACACACACAGAGGGAGAGAGAGAGACAGAGAGAGACAGAGAGAGAATTCATTGTTGTCTTGGCACACACAAACACAGAACCAGAGAGTTAGAGTGTGTTCAAGGTTCAGAGTCTGGCCATGTCTTGTGGGCGTGGGTTGAGGTGGTGTGAGCCGTACACTCCAAAAAGTGTGCATGAAATAGATTGGCAAAGGGACGGAGGAAAGCAGAACTAAGGGAAACAGGGGAAGAAGGGGTCAAGAGAAGGCACACGACAAAACTCGGCGGCGTGTGGAAGAGATCTGGGCCACGCGCTTGTTGAGGACGCGCAGGCTCCACCCGACACTTGGCAACACCACACCACACATCAAGAGGCACTGGCTAAAGGATTTCCTGAATGAAAGCAAGGGGACGAGGAACAGTAAATCAAAAGACAAACAAGCAAAAAAAAAATAAAAACCAGGAAGGGGGAGACAACAAGGAATGACACAAACGCGAACTAGAGGTGTGCAACGTGCGCGTGATCGCGCACGTTGCACACACAAACACACACTGATGCCAGTTCCCAGGTTGGTGTGTCAAGTCTTTTCGAACAAAGGGGTTGTTACTCGTCGTCCTCTTCGTCATCATCAATCGGCTTGAGACCCTTCAGGAGCGGGGCCGGCGTTGCCGGTCCCACGGCCTCGGGGTCCAGTTCCTCCTCACGCTGTGCCTGCGAGAGCAAACCAAGCAAAAAGCCCAGCTGTCGATAATCAATCTGCATCATCATCGAGCGCAAACGCACAAAGCCAGTCAGATGAGATTCGTGCACCGCCGCCCAGGAAATGCCCGCTCCACCCCACCCCCCCGACTCGCGGCGGCTTCCATCCTTACCTTGCCCAGCTGTTCCGTATCAATGATGCTCCAGACGGTGCCGAGCGTCTCCATGGGCAGGCCAGACATCATCATCAAGGGCCGCATCTGCTGGCCATCCAGCATACCGTCCTCGTCGGGCGTCGCCAGCGTCCACACATGCTGGCAGAGCCGCACCAGCTTAGAAACCTCAGCATCATCCTCCTCTTCTTCCGCGGCCTCCTCCGGCTCCGCCTCGGCCTCGGCACCGCCATCACCCAAATCCTGACGTGCCAACAATGTGCAAACGATGGGGAAAGCCAGTACAAAAGTTAAAGTCAGTACCACTCGCCGCCACTCGCCACCCCTGGCAACAACAACGTGTCCTCACACACCAGGTTATTGTTGATACGCTCCACCAACTGAGCCTCATCCTCCTCGTCGCTCGAGTCGGGCGATGCCTCCGGCTCTGAAGCCACCCCGGGGCTTGCAGTGGAAGCCTGCTCCTCCTCGGGCTCAGCATCCGGCTCTGGCACGAGCTCGGGCTGGCTCATGGTGAAGGAGGCCGGTGCGGCACCGTTGGACGAAGGTGCAGGCGAGTTCGCAGCGCTGCTGGTATCTACCAGCAGTTGGAAAAGGCGACCCAGACATCATTATGCGTGATGAGAGTGCTGAAGCGAGAGTTTCCGCGTGCGGACCATGCACAACTTGGCTCGCTCAGACTGTTGTCAAACCCCACGTACTGAGTCGAGCCGAAGCCAGGGCGCCAAAGTCGTCGTCAAAGGCATCCTCGTTGTCGTCCTTGGCCTTGACTGAAGTCTTGGGTGTAGGCGATTTTTTGGGGTTGGTGCCAATGCGGCGAATCGAGTTGATGGCTTTGGGCTACACCGTCCACATCGCCTGGTAAGCCTTCCGTCATGAACCAAACCAAAGGGCCAGGCGCGAGATGTAACAAAAACTCACGTTGATCTGGCTTGAGGTGGCGATGGAAGTCGGTGGCGGTGCACCACGCGCGCGGGCGTATGGGCTGTTGGCCTATGAAAAGGCAGTCAGAAAAAGGTAAGCAAAGGCGCGCATGGGCTCGACGGTGGTCACAGGAGGACTTGACTTGCACAACATGGCTGCCTGTGACTCACGCTCTGTGGTGCTCGGCGCGCTTGGGCAGGGGCAGACAAGCCTGCCGGTGAACCAAAAGCAGGAGATGCCAAGGCCCCGGTCGGGGTAGCGACTGGCTTGGCAGCGGGACTGGCTGAACTGGAAGACTGCGCCGAGGAGGGTGCAAACGCATCGCCAAACTAATCGGGCAGCATGGTTTTCCCAAAGGCATCAGAGGCCGCCGGTGGCACGCCACAAAACGGGGAAAAGCCAAGCGAGAGGACGCCAACGTACAGCAGCAGGGCCCGCAGCATTGCGACCAGCTGGAGAGCTACCAAAGGCCTTGTCCGTAGAGGCTGGTTGACGAACTGAGGCGCGCTTCAAGGCTACCGGCATCATTCGAAAAACCAGGTGAGATCAGCCATGGCCAACAATTGACGCGCGAACCGGCTGGGTAAGGGGACACACCAAACTTGAAATCGCTTTCAAAAGTCTGTTCCAGCTGCCGCAGCTCCTGCTCTTGATCACCGCCAGTACCAGGCCGGGCTAAAGTGCGCCATTGCATCCACATGCCAAGGGATGAGATGGTCTGTCTTTTTAAACGGCAGCGGTGATAGGCGACGCGAGCAAGCAGACATACGAGCGACAAATTGTTGTTTGGGTCGTCGCTGAGAGGCGGTGAGTTGTTGTTTGAGGCGACGAGTCTCCTCCTCCTTCTCCTGCAGTTGTCGCTTGAGGCGCTCGACCTCGTTGTCACTTTGAGCGCGACCGGCAGCACCAAAGCGCGAGCTCGATGTCGAACCATTGCCAGAGCCACCGTTCTGCCCATGTTCCTGCGCCGCCTGGTGCAGGAAGGAGGGCACATGAGCAACCGTAATGACCGAGCGCCTCTCCCCCCCGAATCTTTCTGAGATGGAATGCTTAATTCAAAGGATGCGTTGGGAAATGTGCACAAACGTGCATGCACGGGGCTGGAATTCTCACCCGCTTGAAGGCATCGCCAATGACGTGCATAATCTCAGCGGCCTGATTATAAGACTTGAACGCATAGCATCGCTTGGGCGAGGACAGCTCCTCCTTGGCAATGAAGCAGAAGATGTTGTTGCCTCGGCGATCATCTTGGCAGTAGCTGATGTTGCGGAGCGGCAGATCCAAAAAGACGGTGCCGGTCGTGCTACAAACGTGCGCGAACAAAAAGTCAGCGCATGGCTCAGCTCTGACCGTGAACCAGGACCAAAGACTGGGATGCCCAAGGCAATCAGGATCCAGCACTGGATCAACAGAAAACGCACCGATCCGTGACCTTGACACCACGCGTGCCAACAGAGAGCTCCACTTGGGGTGGGTGCCAGCCCTGGGATTTTCGATAGGTCTTGGTGGTGAGGATGCTATGAAGGGCAAAGTCGACCACGCTGTTGCCGCGCGCATCGGGCACTTCCTCGTGCCCATAGTACTTGACATAGAAGAGACGAAGTCCATGCTGAGCTGCAGCGCGCTGCAGCGCCACGCTTGGCTTTTCGTGTCGCTTAAACATGATGACTTAGACCGAAGCCCCCCCTCCGTCCTTTGGCAAAAGCCGAGCAAAGAGTGGATCAGGAACACAGGGATTGCAGTGAGTGTGGCGAATCAGAGCCGTGAAGCCATACATGGGATGACAATGGCGCACGACCAAGGCTGGCCATATGCAGCCCAAGGATCACACCGCCCCGATCAAGTGACCAAGTGACCAAGTCGGTTCGCTGGAGCCGGCACAAGCCAAAGCGAGCTCACTGACAAGAAGCGAAGCGAAACAACGAGAAGGGGAGGAGAAGGCGGCACTGCATAGCACACCAAGCCTGAAGTGAGTCCCGGGTTTATTTCCATAACGAGCATATCCAGACACCTGATGCAAACCCATGATGAACTGTGCTCTAGACCAGGGTGCCTTCAACGGACCTTGTTCGCTCGATGTGCCGCTGCCGTTTCACCGCTTGAGAAGAAAAAAAAGAAAAAAACCGACTTCAAGCACAACACTGGATTACAACAGCTACTTTTTACACCTGTTGTCAGATTTCAATGAAGAAGAAAGAGATGCAGTTGAATTTTTCGATGCAGGAAAAAGTTGCTGTTGTAATGAGCTGTTGTGGCCCTAGGGCTGCTGACGCTGGCACGATCCGAGAGGAGGCGGGAAGTTGATGGTGCTGCCTGATTGGGAGGGCCGGGCTGTGGATGTGTGTGCAAGTGTGTGCAAGTGCTGTGTGTGGGTGGGTGTGTGTGAGTAGTGTCTTGAGATGAGACTATGTGACCTGCCTGGTGCTGGTCGAATAAGGGCAAGGATTGGGTTTTGTAGAATGCCCGGTGATGAAACGAAGGATTGATAAAGACAAAGCTGTGGTCGCCCAGTCAAGTTTCAAACTAGTTGCATGCATGCGGGCCAGTTTTTTGACAACCGCAAGCCATATCCTCTTGGTCGTAGGTGGGCTTGAAGGCATCTATTGCTCAGTAGAGACCTCAAAGTCAGAGCCTTGCATGTTACGGATGGCATCGAGAACCGCCGTGGGAAAGGGGACCTTGCAGCCCTTGCCGTAGTCAAAGCTGACTAGCCGGCCCCGACCTTCAGCTACGACCTTGTTCTGCTGCTTGGACAGGATCTATGATTGGTTCATCCATCGTCGTGAGCGGAAACAGCGCCCTGGCAAAGACCTTCTGCTCTTGTGCTGACCCCCCCAGCACGCGTGCGTGGATGAAACAAGACGCCATGGGACGGCCCGGTGCCGAGTGTCACACACCTTGAACGCAATGTACATGTCTGCCTCACGGGCATCTTCGGCGCGAACAACGGTGGCAATCTCGTCCGGATGGTAGAGCGGAGAGCGGTAGCGCACATAGTTGTCCGCCATGATCACTGACGCGCCCTTGCCCTCGGACCAGCCCGCATCGTACTCCTTGCTCATTTCCTCAATCATCTGGAAACGCGCATTCTCAAAGTAGCGCAAAAACACGCCTACTCAGGCCCACACGTGCCGGCACGCCGCAGGCGCCATGAATGTGAGCACGACCACGAACACGGTGTCGAATGGAGAACGGCAACCTGGCCAGCTCAGGGCCAAAGAGAAGGAGCAGTTGGCTTCCACAATACAGCTGCTTGGTACCATAACGCACAGTTATTCACGTGGTTGAAGGCATCCAGGTCGCCCCACTGGACCTTCTCCGTGTTGACCACCGCCCAGTCCTTGTACTGGTCCAAAAGCGGGTAACTGGGCCGGAGCTCAGCCAGCACAGACTCGGACAGCGCACGCCGTGCAGCCACTGCCTGGCGCATTGTCGCCTAGACCAGCCATCAACCCCGTGAGTCACCCCAGCCGCCGCGCACCCTCACCCAACAAGAGCCGGACCGTGCCAGTCCTACCGCTGGCCGCTGAATTATCTGTCGCAGCATCGTCTCTGGTCTCCACGTCAATATTTATTCTGTACCAGCGCCATTGAGATACCGTGAGCACCCAGCGAG